GGAAGATTTTGTTTACTGAAGTTATTACACATTACTTGAATTGGTCACAAGAGGCTATTGGTGAGATGAGACAGTAGTTTTACCAGTCATATCAAAGACATTTAAATTCATTTGAGTGTTAATAGTATGAGGATAGCAGTATTTCAGTATCCTTTTCTTTCTAAGATTGCACAGCTGTGCTTCAGCAGCAGATAGCCTGAGCCAAGTTAGCTTCTGCCATAGTTTGGTTGAAGAATGACAGATTTGTGCTGATAGGGAATGACTAAATGACTCTCATGGTTTAGACCTTAGCTGAATGCCAAAGCAGCCAYGACGGTGTTCCCCCCACCCACCAGAGAGGCAGAGGGGAGAGCAAAAAGCCCAAATAACACCAAAATTTACTGCTTTTAGATAATATAATTGAGAGAAAGAYATAAATATGCCCCAGAAAAAGCCAGACAGGCTGAATAACTTAAATTGCAAAATAGATTTATTACTAAGGACTACTAAGAATACTAGTGGACTGGGGAAGGGAACAGAGATAGGGAAAAACTTACAAGGAGAAGAAAAAAAAAAACAACCATTTTAGGACACCTACTATTCTCTCTGCAAACCTATCTCTCCCAGGTTGCCCTTCCCCACCCCTCCATTCCTTCCTGTGCACAAAGGGAGAGGGTATGAGAATTTTAACGTGGATCAGACTACTCATTACGGTTGTCATCCAGCACCATAGGAGAAGACTTCTTACAGCTCCAAGCTGTGGAAGTTCTTTTCCCAAGAACAGTCAGTGTATAACTGCTGRTGGCAWGGGATTCTGTTCTTTACCTCATGGGAGAACGGGAATCAGTCCTCCAAGGCCGGCATTCTTTCATTTTGAGGGCAAGGCCACTCTCTCAAATCTCCTGGCAAAACACAGCTTCTTCTAAGCATCAATTTGCTCCAGATTGGAGGTGGGGGGGGAACCTCTTCCCCCTTTTTGACTTATGATCAGTCCAGTCCTCCGAGGCCAGGTTTTATTTCAGGTGCAGGGCCTCTCTTTTCTATACAGGTCTCCCACTGMAGAAATAGTCATTTTAGAGAATAGCTTGTTTTTCTCCAGTTTGAGCACTGCAGCTCTTCTCCTTCAATTCTCTTTGACCTTGTGTCTCCATTTTTTTTCTCACGTCTCCTCACCCTCTTCCTCTGTCCTGTCCCAGTGCAGGGGATGATATTAACAACCCAAAACTAAATGGCAGCTGCCCTCTATCTTGTTTTGAATTCTTCTTAAGTACAAGACCATAGGTCATCACAGAGGTGTAACTAGCCTGTGCAATTGGCCCAGGCCTGACCAGCAGCCTGTCCATCAGCCTCAGAGCCACAATGGATTGGCTCTAAAACACAGGAAGCAGGGTTCCTTTTGCTGGAGAAGAAAGAGAAAACTTCCAGAATTCTCACCATCTTTGTGGTTTCTTGGAGCCATCTTTGAGGTTTCTTGGTCCCATCCCCCCACCACCAAAAAACCGGACTGAACAAAACCAGAACAGTGACTTAAACATTCATGATAGATTTTGGGTCTACTGTTTTGCTTCCAGGAGAATTTCTGAAAGGCCTGGAATTGTGTTTGAATCTGTGGTGTTCACCTCACTAAGTTTACTTCTGATATCTGTATTAATGCTGGGAGTACATCAGCTACTCTATTAGTTACTGAACAGCCTTAGTGTGGTGTGTATGCAGGACAAAACTTGGTAGGAGACACAGGTTTTCTTCATGTCGGTATAATTAAAACAGTGTCACGCTACTGAGTTCCATTCTGTTCAGAAACTGTAAATGTTGTTTTTGTTTAATTTTACAGTAGTACATAGTATGTATCTGAATAAAGATTGTGAGTAGTTTGGTGGACACARAATGCAGACACGTCTGATTTTGGCATAGTTTAGGTTGGGATCCTGAATAGTAGGAAAAGAAGGCAGAAAGAGTCCTTTTAATGTTAGAATGTGTTGCAGAATAATTTACTAGTTGTTGGTCTAGTTTAAGTTGGAAAACAAGCAAGAAACACTAGTGTTGGCAACGAAGCTGATCATGAAGGGTTTAAGCATAGTAAATCCTGCCTGTGGCAGCAGAGTTSCCTTGCTGGCATCCCTGTCTTACATTTTGTGATCTGTTTTAAATTTATCACAAATACCTTCCTGAGAATGAGGAGTATCCTAGAGCAATCAAATGTGTGTCAGATCACCTAAACAGAGATCTTGCTTCTAATAAAAATGTTCTTATATATAGGTCTAACTTGCTGGCGACATCACAAAGCTAGCAGCTATAAGAATGTTTATGAAACCTGGCAAAATACATAACTGGCAACTTCAAACTGGGAAGGCTATGTCCTCTAAAGCAGTTTTAAAATATATTTTTCTGACCTGCCCTTTGTTTCCCAGTTTAATTGGGAAACATAAGTTTAAGGCTGGGATGTTTGTGCCTATTCAAAGTTTGAAAGGTTTAATAATGAAAGTACTCTCTATTCCCACGTCTAATGGCTAAACCAATCATATTTACAATTAGGTGAAAGAAAATGTTTTCTTGACTTTGGTGTGGAGTATTCAGTATCCRCAGGAGTTATTTTTCACGTTAGTCCTTGACTGTAAACCTTAGAATTTGTTCATGTAGTGTTCTATAAATACATCTGTGCTTCTGTTCTTGCTGATTTTTTTTTTTTTTTTTTTTTAATTTTTTTTTTATTTTTTTTTTTTTTTTTTTTTTTTTTTTTTTTTTTTTTTTTTTTAATGTGTTTATTGAAATTTACATATATATTCATTTGTTGACTTTGTGCTCTGAGTATTGCATAGTTTTGGCCCAGGTCTCAGTCTTTACTGTTTTGTTATACTGCTTTGTAAGAAAGGGATTGACTCATCTGACAGAGCAGCACTATTAAAAACTTTTTTAGAGCTTTTTTGGCTGAAAACATGAGGAAGACTTGAATTTTCTTCTAGAGTACATTTTTCATGTAGAAATAAGATAGCCAGTATTAGTGAGCTGTGGGAGAAGGTCTTCTTACAAAATACCTTTCCAGTCCTTTGAWACTTGGTAATCGCCCAATCTTTAGTACAAAGGGTGAAAGGTAAGGATGTTAGTGAGTTAATAACAAACTTTTCTCATGGCAGTTGCATAAATAATGTTAGGAATCTTGACTAGTTTTCTAAAACCAGTAAGATAAATCTATTAAGTTAGTGTATTTGTAGTCCTGTACTTAATAGCTGATGCATCAATAACTTGGTAATTCCACAAAGTATTATTTTATTTATTATATTATTTTTTATGTTCTTACTCGGTACAAACCTAATCTTACTCATTGTTTGTCAGACTGTAAGTTCCTCAGTCTGAAGACTTTATTGTTATGTTGATCCTTCAACATAAACCTGTCTTGATAATTTCTGAAGGTTTTATGATTCTTCTGCTTGGARATGAGACTTGTGTCTAAATGAAGGAGAGTCAAAATTTTTTCTTGCTGTAATCTGCTTGTTGTTTCTTAATTTAACTTTTCTCATATTGGTTCATTTGTAAACATATGCCCTTTTGTATGCTATTATTGAATGGGATATATCAGTAAAAGTGTRCTTGGTTCCTTTTAGAAAGAAAAGTAATTTCTTTGATGGCTTATTGACTCTAGAAGTTCATTCATTTATATTTTTCTAGTTGTATGTAACTGGAATACTTAGAAAATGTCTTTGGATTTTTTGTTGATAGTTTACTTTAGGAGTGAGTGTTGAATGACTCCAGCAGAGTAAWTTTTAATCAGTTTATTGCGTGAGACATACCTTTAACAGCCTTGTCTCAATTGAACTGTAATATTTGTCCATCTTATCTTACAGTTTAAATATGGAGTTGGAGGTACCTAAAAACTTAAGTATGAGCTCCTGTTACTAAAAAAACCCAGCATTTCAACTGTGTGCAGTTTTACATTCAGTTAAATCTGACAAATCTGTTAGACTTCCTTTTAGAAGCTGGAACAGTCTTGTCAGTCATTGGAAATCGGCAACAACCTTCGTTATTCTGTTTCAGGCCAGAGTACAACAATGATTGTGAGTTACCAAATTCAGATTCCACATCTCTTGCTAATACTCATATTACAGCCACCGTAGATTAAACTGAGCTACATCTGTGCTTACTGACAAACAGGTTTGCACTCTGTTGTGCAAATGTGGAATATATGTTTGTGTCTCCCTGTGAAATGTGTGTAGCTGTTTATTATGTTTTCACTAGCTGAATTTTTAATAGTGTATATATCACAGATAAAATATTTTTCAGTCATTGACCATTTTGCAGTGMCAAACTGCAGAGCATGATTCAGTTGCCCTTGTATAATTCAGGCAGTGTTTCGTCCATTTCTTTCTCTAGTTCACAGTAGATTTCATTCTCTTGCTTATTGAGAAATGTTTTTCTAACTATGAGAAGAGTGTAGGGTAGAAAAAGTATTCTTGCCTTTTCATTGTAAGCCATTACTTTCTTTCGCCCAATTTCCAACTGGAGTATTTTACTTGATTTTGACACTCTGGACGGGTAGACTCACTGTTAGCATTGAATCTAGAGACGTTCTGAGGTTTGTGATGATCCCAGGTATCTAGGTGCCTCATAAGGAACTTTCATATAGCTACTGAGACTAACTGTTAGGGATTAATTAATAAAAGTCAGCTTCTAGGAAGCTGATACAATAGCTACTGAAATCCTGCCTAGGTAGTAGGAGAAAGTATTTCAGCAAGCCATAGCGTTCTGGATCAGACTTACCCAAGATGCTTTATCCCATTTTCAAGAAGAAATAAAGGAAGAAATGCTGCAGTTGTATTTGCATGATTCCTGTGATGTATTTGATTTGTTTACTTTAGTAATAAGAGCACAGATTTGATCCCATAAATGAGATGAGGATGGTTAGATTCTAAACCAGATCCGTGAGAAAATAATATGGGAAAGCAGAAGGGAAATACTGAACAAAAGACAAGAAGTGTAATCCCCTTGTAACATAAGCATCTGAAAGGACTCATTTCTTCTGATTACAGGGACTCGCCATGAGGTGCTAAGCCTTTTTTCATTGATTTGAAGAGACTGGCCCTAAATGGCGCAGCATGACTTTGCTCCAGCCTGGCTTAATTTTCCTACTCCACCATCATCAACAAAGGTATGTTTTGTGTTATTCTTTTGAAGAGGCATACTCATTATTACAGAAGTCTAAATGTCATAACCTCAATCACAGTAAAATGTAAATCTCTTCAGGAATACTGTGAGGACAGACGACTCCGCTGGAGTTTTTTTGCTTGAACAGCTTAGCTTCTGGAAAGAAACACATGCCTGGCCTTGGCTGTGGTTGGGTTAAGATTGTCTTCATCATGAGCTTRAAATGAATTTTTAAGAATAGTATTCTATGCTCGAAGTACCCAGACAAGGCACTGTCCTTGATATTCTTGCTTCTGATTTTTCTTTGTGTCCTGTGAATTTTACAAAAGTAGTATTCTGTCATCCAAGTGCTTAAACCCACGCTTCTTTAGACTTTCTGAGATGGGTCTGCAGCTGATGGTAGAATGCTTGTTACTACTGGTAGAGTGTCATGCATTCCCACTGTTAACGCATCTTTACTCTGGTTGTTTCATCTAGACTCTGTTACTTTATATAATGGGACGTAATGGGAAATAACAGTCTCTGAATTGTTAGGATTTGTAAATATTCAGGGAAGATCTCGAGCATGTCTGTCTCAGAAATATTTTTTCCTGATCTATCTTTCTGCTCCTTATTTGAGCAAATACAGAAGCAGAGTCAGCACTGGATATTAAAACTCCAGTCATCTGCTTCTCTATTTATATACCAATCTTCATTGTAGTAGTTTAAATGCAATATTTATATCTGCTGCTGTGAGAATGGCTTTGCTTTTCTTTAATATATTTATATAAGCTTTGTGCAGTCTTTCATGTCCATGGAAAATGCTTAGCCTTGAGAAACTTACGGCATTATTCTGATGATATTGTTAAATCCACAGATAGCTGGCAGTGTTCATTGTCCTCGTAATGCTTTGRTTATTTATGTCTACATGCACATAAATGCAGTTTTTTAGTCAGGTCGTTGAATGTGTTTATCCATATCACTCTGTTTATGTCTCTTCTACCCTGACCTAGCTAGGTTCTTTGTTTAGTATAATCTGTTTTGGGGAACATCAGGCCTATCTGTTCCAGGATACATGGTCTCTGAAAATCCAAATTAAGATGCAGTCTCTTTGTTTCTGTTCCTTGTGATTTTTGAGGCATTCAACTCTTTTGATCTGATTTTTTCAATTGARTATGTTTTAAATTGGAAAAATATTTTGAGTTTAATTTAATATGATGCTACAGTTGAAAAACAATCTTCACCACATATGTAAAGAGTGGGCTGCAAGAGCTGTACCTAAATTTTTTATATGTCAATATAAGAGGATAAAAGTACGTTCTGGAACTACTCCAGTACCACTAGAATGTATCTGAGACATGGGGTGTATTTGTCACCTCATTTCTAAGTTGTGTGAAATGTCATTACAAGTGTATTTGTGGCTCCTGTTCTCTCTTCTCTTCTTTGGCTCATGGTGTTTTGTTAGATTTTCTTATTTTTCAAAGCTCATGTTGTATGCTTACTCTGTTGTAATATTTGTGTGTAATTGCCGGAATGCACCTTATTTCCCTCCATTACATTGTTGCTCAGTGATRGGCATTCTGTGATATACAGCATATTTGGATATTAAGTGCTTGACAAGTTTGTTTGGTAGTTCTTAGTTTACAGAATAAGACTTGTAATTCATCTGTGGGACAGATCTAACCTGTTGTGCTCCCCTGTCYCCTCTATTTCCTAAAATACAAAGTTATTTTCTGCTTTCTGTATATCAAAAAATTGGAAAAGAAGAGCAGAAAGAAGGATGAGGAGGAAGGTTGAAGTGAAGAAGGCAAGATGTCTCGTTCTGTGCAGAATGGAGGCTGGGGTGAGGCTATGATATCAACAACATTTAGACTTTTGAAGGAGAAAATGAGCTTTGCTTGGTCAATTTTTATTTTCCTAAAGTGTTATCACTTTCAGGGATTACACCTACAGGAGCTTGGTTTTCCCCCTGAGCACTCCATATCTGAGATGCTTTTCCTTACGTAGCTCAAGGCTGGCATTATAGAAACCTGCTACGAGGAAGCTGTGATTGTAGCTTTCTAGTAGACATACAGATTACAGCTTGATTGAAATCCATCTCATCTGTTGCTGCTGATTTCCTTTTAACAGCAAGCATTTCTCATCTCTCTGTCAATTACACAGCAAAATACACCTACATGGGTGTGTGTCTGTCACTCAGTGGGTTTTGTTCGGATCTGGAACTAACGTATTTGTGTCAGTGCAGTATTGCTGATGGGCAGGTGGAATGGGAAGGTATTGTSAATAGTGAAACCATCTTGGGATATAGATAAAACTTTTAAGAAAGTATTGCTGTAAAAAGGGTATGAGGGGTTTGAAGGTAGACAAATGAACTCAAGTTTTGCAAATTCTCTTAATTCTCGTTAAGCAACTGAACTTCCTGTATTTCTTAAAATCTGTGTTGTTTCTTTCCCTTTTTCTTCATTGGCTGAACTGACTCAGGTAATTTCTCAACTTCCAGGAACTGCCAATAAATTTCTTATTGATTACAAAGTTTACTTAAGTCACAAATGCCTTAAGAGTCTTTGTAGACTGATACCTCCATCATGTGGGGAAAATGCAAACTGCATGATCTTTGCACACTATTTAGAAGCTTCAAATTCATTATAGCATGTACAACTCAAAGACTATATATAAAATGCTGTCAGTTAAACTTTGTGAAAATATTGTTTTTTGAAGTTACTATAAAAAAATAGAAGTTAAATTCAAAAGGCAGTATTAGGAGGTTGTTGTATGTAAATGAACACACRTAGGTATCTTCTGAAATTTCACCTAAGATTGGCAGATTTAGCATTTCGTGAAATTTTTGACAGCTTCTTCAAAATATTTTAAAGGATTTTCTTTTACTCAAATATTTAGATGATTTTGGTAATTTTTCAAGCACTTAAATATTTAAACAATTCCGTGCAGTTTTCTGTTTTTTTCTCTCTCCAAGTTTGTCAGGTAATTCACTTCCCAGGTCTCAGATTGAGAGGCTAGTCCCTGAACATTTGACTTCTGTACAATTTGTAAATACATGCTTTGACTTTTAAACATATACGCTTATTTGAATTTGAATTTTAAGCAGTGAATATTGGACAGCATCTTGAGCTCTACAGAGGCATTGTCTGTAGAACTTAGAGTATCTTTTTTTTTGTGGGGGTAATTTTTCTCTATGGGGTAGATGGGAAGAAGGAAGCAGGTTTAAAGGTACCTCCACACAAGTTAAGGAAGACACCGGTTTTGTAAGGCAAGATGTTTTTTGGTTTTGGTTACCTTTAGGTATAAATTCTAGTCAGGATGTAGTTACATTTCTTACTGCTATTCTAAAAATAAGATTTTAGTTTATAAAGTACTTCCTACTGGTATATTAARGATTTATTTGTTTAAAATTTCTCTAATGTCTTCTTGTAAGTTGAATATTTGAAGTATCTGTCTGAATCTGGACACTTTTTATTTTAGGTTTTAGTTGTATTTGATAATCACTTGTATTTGCCTTATATAAGTTATAATGACTAGATTAGTGAATTGGGCTTTGTTTGGGTATAGCTGCCTCGGGTAGAAGTGTCTCCTTGCTTTCTATGGAATGCACAYGTGTAGTCTCTGAAAGTTCGAATTAAGATCCTAGACTTTTTTTGTTTTCCAGATTGTTGTCTTCTGTCCTTTCTTGCCTTTCTTTAGATGTTTTTTTTTGTTTAGAAGCTTTTTCTTCTGCTGCAACACGCATCACTTGTGCTCTGTTCCGCTGCCAAAGCAAACTAGACACCTCTTATTTTGTATCACCAATATGTGACTCAAGGGCTATTTCAGTGTCCTTGAGCAGAAGACACAGATTTCGCTTTGTTAGTTTGACACATAGTGACACAGCTCTGAACTTGAGGTCTCCTGCATTGTCATTCAAAGTTCTTGTAAGAATGACTTGTATATACTGTGAGCAATGTGCATGTTGCAGTTCTGATGATTAAGTTTTGTTATTAATCAGATCTCAGGTCTACCACTTGTGCTCTTTTACAGTCATCGCTGAATTTTGAGAAACATTCTGAGAATTTTTCATGGACAGAGAATCGTTCTGGAGCAACTCGCAGAAGACACAACTCTTCAGAGGGGTTCAATCCTAACATTGGACGGCCGAATGGAGGTATAATTTATGGAACRCAGTGAATATCTTTGCATCACTTTTTTGTAGCACTAGCTAGAAAAGATGTCTGATTATAGCTCATCTATGCTAAATTCTTCTGCAGTAAAAGAATTATAATGAAAAGACATCCTCTGGGAGAGGATATGAGCACTAAGAATTAGTTAAAGTAATGTGATTCCAGGTGTATTTCTCTGTTGAATAGAGTAAGAATGGTGAGTTAATATGCTAGCCAGCCACATGTAAATGAGGAACTGGAAAAAAAGGTTGGCTTGTAGCATTGGCTGGCTATATTCTTTCTCTGGCACTGTTTTGTAAGATCCTTCCCTTCTGCCTGTGAATGAAAACTTGTTTACTGTGCCATTGTATCCCAGTATATAGAGCTGCCACCTTAACTTCTTAATAATTCTGCAGAGTAGAATATTCTTTTTAAATTGTTTGTAACTGCATTTCTTTAAAATTTAAAAATCCAAGGGCATTTTGGGCGAAAAGAGAGGAATGGTTGGCGTTCACAAGGCAGAAATGGTCCAGAAAATGTAAACCATCGTGGGGCATACCATGGTGGAGGTTCCCATAATCGTAGCAGCACTTACCATTGTGGAAAAGGCCAAGGACTGCATGAAAACAGTGTACTTGATAATGAAACCCACAAAAAGGAAGACAAAGAAGTACGCAACCAGTTTGAGGCTGAGGATTTTGTAAGTAAATTGTAATTATAATAAACAGGGTTTCATTTTCTCTGCAAGTACCATTTTGTCCATTACAAGTTGCTTCAAGAGATTTAACCAGTTTCAGATCATCATACAAAGAATCACCTTTCCATAGGTAACAGTGTCAGTCATTTGTCCATTAAGTTATTTCTCATTTTATATCCAGATTTTGTCACTATATGTTTATTACTGTTACTTGTGTATTTAAGTGAAACTTCAGTTGGATTCCAGTCTGCTATGGTATTTGTAGGTATTAAATTCTACAGTTACCRTATTGGAAATCTGAAATAGTTACAAAGTGATCTACATTCATGCCAATGAACCTTTGACGTCCCATACTTCAGCCTRCAATTAGGATGTAAGGGGAAGGGTGATCTTACCCCTTTTTTTTTTTGTTTTGCTTTCTCTGGTCATTTCATGTAATGATATTGGCTGCTGGTGGAGATGTTTTGTTGGAGAAGAGAAACAAGTGAGCATTGACCTGTTTGATTCCTAGGGGAACTGTCTAGTCTGTCAGAAGAGGTCACACTGCTGGTGTTATTGCGATTTCTTTTCATCCCACAATTCAAGACTTACTGTTTTAATTATGATAAAACTTTGTTTCAGCCATCTTTAAACCCTGAATATGAGAGGGAGCCAAACCAGAATAAATCACTAGCTGCAGGTGTATGGGGTGAGTATTTTTGATGTCTTAAATGCAAAAATGTGGCAGAAATCTGAAGTTGTTTTGTTTGAAACAAAAGCTTCTTTTTAGAATTATAAAGGTATGGATTGAGAAAACTTCAATATTATTACAATATAGATACCTTTTTATTARAGAGATAACACTTGTATTTGGGTATCAGTCAGTTGGTCTCAAAATGCAGCCACAACTAATATTCTTTCTGAGAACAAATATACATATCTTTTTGTAAAGATATCAAGAATTTAACTTCAGTTTCATTTTCAAGAGGAAATGCAATGAAGGTTGGTCACCTAAATTAGTGGTGTTGATTGCTAGCTGAAGGCTTTGTAAAAGAGTGCTTCTGACTGATTAGACATGTTGGAGGAGTTTAGAGAAAAACCTGGGTTGGCTGGAAGAGTAGGTTAGCTTGCAGAGTTTTAAGGTTTCTTTCTGGAAACAAGTGTCTTGGGCTGTTGATTATGTTTGTGAATTATTTGTATAACAAAAATGGTCCTGAGCATGGGTATTGAGCAGACATCTAGTCTCCTAGTCTCATCTTCACCTAGTTACATTTGGCTATCTTACAATTCTAATGGGCTTTATGTAATCAATTGTTTATCCTTAAGAAGGTGATAGCTTTAGATAGTAGAGGTTTTAAAGTGCTTTGAATGTGCTCAAAATAAGGACATTTCTCTTTACTTAAAAAAAAAGCTTTTACTTAAGTCTACTTAAACTAGCGCTAATACTGAGGTTTTAAAGGTATTTTAATTTGCTGATTCCTATTTTCWTACCTCACTAACATCTTTTGCTTCACCAATATATTATGAAGTAAAATTAGATATTTATATGGAGGGGTTCGCCTATATCTAATTGCTGTAAACCTTTGCAGCTTAATAAACAATTGGGCAGATTTCTGGTTTTGTGTTGTTAGCATCTTTCATGTGATAACCTACCTTTCAATAAAAGAGTCTTGTTTTGTGATGGAAAAATTGAAATTAAAGCTGCTGTTACTCCCTTTAAAAGGAAACAAGATTCAGGACAGAGGAGTGTAACAATTCCTTCTAATATCTGTTAAAAATCTCATAGATTCTATTTTACCTTTTGTATATGTGATGGGAGCCAGCAAGTGTTATGAAAAGACTTGTGCTGAAGTGTAATGAGCATGAAGCTTACATCTGTCTTGAAGTGACAAATACTTTGTAACGTCTACCTGTTAAATAGATCTAAAGTTTTGCATGCTTTTAAGAAATGGTTTTGCTTTTTTTTTTTTTTTTTTTTTTTTTTTTTTAACAGCGGATATGGTGACTCTGAGGTAGAATTGCTTGCAGGGAGCGGAAATAGTCCTTGAAAAGGCTCTTAACACAGCATTGGAATGCATGTGCAAAATTTTTTTTTTCACTTTTTGASTGTTTTAGAACTGTTGTTAATAGATGTGTAACATTTCTAAATGTTAATTTCTCTAGTTTGAAAGCTGACTGTATGTCTCCTAATTTGTGTTCCACTGAACATGGAAATTTTGTCCTATTATGCTCATCTCAGGCATGGAGCTAGAGAAACTCGTCTTTGCCATGGTGTGAAGTGTGGTGCACATCTTGTCTCATGTTTATAGAATCTTTGTGTGGAACTTTAAACTGAGATGTTAATAAATATATAATTAATTATTCTTTAARAAATCTTAAAGGGAATATGAAAGCCAAAATCTCTTTTGAAGTTTGGGTATCTATCAACAACTAGCATYATTTTGATTTTAGAATTGCTATGCAGCATTATCTAGAACTGTGTAGCTGGCTTCTTCAAAGAATATCTTTACTTTCAAAAAGTGCAATTCCTGCATTGCCAAGTGAAATATTTTTAAAATGATGGTCGTAGAAAATGTAACAGAACCTGTGTTTTTCCAGCTTTGCACAGTGTTTTATTTGTATAAGTAATACTGAACTAAGTTCCTAATTTATGTCTGTTTGCTCTGAACCATATGTCCGATACCTTATGAGCCCAAAATTAGCAAGATTGTGTACATATGCACATGCACACACACATGTATATCTGTATATACACACACTCCTTTTTTTTTTTCCAGAGTACCCTTTAAATCCTAAATCTAGATCTCAGAGAATGTTGGTCATTAAAAAAGGCAGTRCAAAAGAACTGCGGATATCTGGATTCCCAGTAGTGGGAAGTCTTCATTCACAGCCTGTAAGGAATGGAACTGGCACAAGTGTCTATAAAGGTTTAGTCCCCAAACCTGTCACTCCACCTGCAAAGGTGAGTATTGGATACTAGTGTCATGAAAAACATGCTGAGAAAAATCATGCTGTAATTCTAAACGGGTTTGTTTAATCCCTGAGAATATTGTTCTTAGATTATTATGTGTCCAACACTTGCAAAGTGCAACACACACCTAAAAAGAATAGAAACGGCATTTTCTCATTTTTCTGTTTAAATTATGCTGTAATTTAGTCCCTCTTTGCTTCTCATCTACTATTTTTGAGAGATGTGCWTGTGAGTAAAAATGGTGGTTTTGGCTTATGGAATAACAGTGCCTTTTGTGTATACAATTTTAACAGAACAAAATTAGGTAATTATTGGAGAGGTATAGTCAGCATAATAATACCTTCAGAATTCATCCCAGATATGACATTATAACCTGTTAGTGTCATTCTGATCTCTTTCCAAATGCAACTTGCCATGTGCAGAATCGCAAAATATTCAAGTTGGAAAAGACTTTTCTGTTGGAAAAGACACGAATCATCAAATCTGACTCTTAAGTGACTGGTCCCTATAGGCATCAAAYCCATGACCTTGGTATTATTAGCACAGCTTATAACCAACTGAGTTATTCTCAGTGGCTTCATCTCTAGTTTTTTGTTTCAGGATTTTTTCTGTGCTCTTGAGAGCATATGATGGTCTGGTTCTTAATTCTGTAACATTCTGAATCTAAATAATACTTTCAGCTGTTGAAGTCCCATATTTAATTTTCAGTACTTCAAATATGAGAATCTTAATTGTTTTAAAATTTTAGTCTTTATATAAACAGTGTGAACAATATTTATGAGCAGATGAATTGCTCATAAACAGCCTCTTTTTTCACAAGAAAACAGATGTTTGCACTACATTAAAGTTGCAGTTATGATTTGCTTTTCCTTAATAATTTTTCTGAAGATTCTTGAAAAGAGTCCTTTTATAGTTAATGACTCTTTACATTTCTGTTTATATCTCTGTTTAGCCCACACAGTGGAAAAGCCAAGCAAAAGAAAATAAACTTGGGAATGCATTTCCTCATGAATCTGCATATGGTGTTGGCAGTTTCAGTCCTTTCAAATCAACTGTCAAGGCATTTACTGTAACACAAAATTCAGTGAAAGAGGTAAAGCAGTGGCTGTAGTCAAATCTATAAAACATTTAATTTGTTTAAATGAAGGTGATCAGTTAATTTTATGCAGTATTAAATATATTTTTTGGGAAGCCAGTGCTTGGGAAAGGTGGAAGGCATATCACAGGCCTTTAAGTACTCCACGGTTTCCTTTATAGGTTGGATTCAGAATAAAAACCTGCATTGGGAAATACAATCTGATACAATTAAACTTCAAAACTGCTAAAGGTAGTACATGTTTCAGAAGGCCCACTGATCATTAGCAGTGTTCCGTAAAAACCTGCATCTCTAGGTTTACATGTAGAAATTATACCAAAATACAGATCTTCCTTCTGCTTTTGCCTGTGAATATATGTGAAACCTAAACCAAGATATCTGTGTCTTTAATTCACAATTTTCTGAATGAAAACACTTCTAACATTCAATCTTTTTCTGGCTTCTTACACTAGTGTTATCGGTCAAATTCTTCATCCCCTGTTGATAAATCTGGTCAGCCTCGTTTAACAAAATTGACAAGAATGCGGACTGATAAGAAGAGTGAATTTCTGAAAGCATTGAAACGAGATAGAATGAAAGAGGAACATGAAGATGAGAATCATGATGGGCAAGAGAAGGTGATTTTGTTCTTACCTGTTGTAGATCCAGTAGCAGTAGGTTTCAGACAAACCATACGCTACTCATTTTGCCGTAAACAGCTGTTAAGTAATGGTCTTGGATCTCTAAATGAAGGAAAGGAGTTACATTTTGATGAGTTACATTTTGAAAGGAGTTACATTTTGAAAGGAGTTACATTTTGAAGGAAAGGAGTTACATTTTGATGAACAAACATTGTTCCAGGTACTGCTCTTCCTCCAGTGCTGCTTAGTACTTTCTTTTTGTCTTTCTGCATTATCTGTTAGTGCATGTTARTAACTTAGGTACTTGTGTGTCTTCAGCAGCAATAAAAAGGATAAATTAACCTTAGTAAACTAACCTAATCATGGATTCATTTCTTAGTATTATCAAGTCGAATGTTTAATCCAATGCTATGTCAGCAAACTACGTATTCAAGTGTCACATTTACATGCCTCTTAAATATCTGCAGGCGTGGTGACTCAGCCACTTCAGGGCAGCCCATTCAGTTCTTGATGATCCTTCCTGTGAAAAAAGTCCTCCTAATGTCTAACCTAAATTTCCCCTTCACAACTTGTGGCCATTTCGCGTGTCCTGTCCCAGACTTGACCAAYCCTCACCTGGTCACAGCCTCCCATCAGGTAGCTGTAGAGAGTAATGAGGTCACCCCTGAGACTTCGTTTCTCAAAGTTTAATAGCCCCAGCTCCCTCAGCTGCTCCTCACAGGATTTGTGCTCCAGACGCTTCCCCAGCTCCGTTGCCTTCTCTGGACTCGCTGCAGCCCCTCAGTTCCTTCCTGCAGGGAGGGGCCCAGAACTGGACACAGCCCTSGAGGTGTGGCCTCAGCAGTGCCCAGGACAGGGGGACAATCCCTGCCCTGCTCCTGCTGGCCACACCATTGCTGATCCAGGCCAGGATGCCATTGGCCTTCTTGGCCACCTGGGCACACCCTGGCTCATGTTCAGCTGCTGTCACAGCACCCCCAGGTCCTTTCCAGCCCCTCTGTCCCAGCCTGTGGCACTGCCTGGGGTTGTTGTGAGCCAAGGGCAGGACCCGGCCCTTGGCCTTGTTGAACCTCACCCCATTGGCCTCAGCCCATGGATCCAGCCTGTCCAGATCYCTCTGCAGAGCCTTCCTGCCCTCCAGCACATCAACACTCACACTCAACTTTGCAGGTGTCACCTGCAAACTGATTGAAGGTGCACTTGTCCAGATCATTAATAAAGATATTAAACAGAACTGTCCCCAGTACTGAGCCCTGYGGAACCCCACTCATGACGGTCCACCAGCTGGATGTAACTCCATTCACCACTAATCTCTGGACCTGGCTATCCAGGCAGTTTTTACCCAGTGAAGRGTGCACCTGTCCAAGTGTTGGCCTGCCAGCTTCCGCCGGAGAATTCTGTGTCRAAGAAAGGCTTTAATATATATAGTCCAGACAGGTAACATCCACAACCTTTTCTTCATTCACTAAGCAGATCACCTTGACATGAAGGTGATCAGGTTGGCCTGCCTATCCCTGCCTATTCTGCCTGCACCTGATTTCCTGGTTGCCCTKCATGTGCCATGTGATGGCGCTCACAGTGATCTTCTCCATTACCTTCTTTGGTACCAAGGACAGTCTGACAGATCTGTAGTTCCCTGGAATCTGCTTCCACCCCTTTTTGTATGTGRCCGTCACATTTGCCAGGGACCTCTCTGGTAATGAGGACAGCTGGTAAATGATGGAAAATGGCTCAGTGGWTGCTTCTGCCAGCTTCCTCCATACTCTTGAATTGGCCCCACAGACTTGTGGAGGGCAGTGTTTCATGCCTTGGCTGCTTAATAGCCTACAAAACAAGAAACTTGGTTCTGCTTCTTRAACCATTCCTTTCTGATTTCTAATTACTGTTAGGGTACTATTCTTGGTCTAATCGTAGGACCAATAGCTCAATATATGCATAAATCACGGGTTTTTACTAATTGAGAGCTTGAAAGCCTATAAGGTCTGTGTATAATATACATCAGGTTTCTTTCAGCCTGAATTGATTCATGTAGTGCTTGACTGACACCAGAGAATATTTTCAATGCTACTAGCCACCACCAGCTTACACATAGTCCAGGTGAAGACAAGTATTTTGTTAATCAGAATAAGGTTATTAAAAGCCTGTTTGCTGTAAATGAGTGGTCTAAAATGTCTCATTAAAACAAAAAATCCTATAAATTACAAATCAGCCAGATAAACAAGTGATTTTGAGGAAGGGATATTAGATTTCTGAGATATTAAAAAGGACATAGTGCCAGTGTACATGCTTATAGAAGTGAGATTGACTTTTCTGACCCTGATCCTATTTCAGGCAAAATAAAATTTGCTATAACGGGACTGTACAATTTACCTGTATGTGTGGTTTAAGAAAGATCTGCATATTTCCAATAGGCATGCTATGGCTGAGTGCCCTGAGATGGATATTGGGGGTAGTTTTAGATTTAAGATTTTGATTTAAGGCTAAAAAGATCTTGGGAACCACCTAGAGGTTGAGAATTATGAAATAATGAGGCAAATCATACTCAGCAGCTGAATCACACATGGAGGAAGCTATTTTGCCCTATATATTACAATTGTTTAATGAATTTATAATTTTTTCTTGTGTGACATATTCTTCAGGCATATGATGTAAGAGCTGAATATATGTTTACTGAGATATGTGTTCTTAACACTATCTTGCTGGTGGTTCTGAAATTTCTGAAAGCAGATAGCACTGGGGGTGGGGTAGGAAATTATGGTCTTGATTCTGTGCTCTWAGTGTGGTTTCTTAAAAGTGCAGAACTCAGTGGTTGCATGATTTCCTCTTGAGGTGGGTAATGCTGTTGTATGCCTAGTTTAGGGATTTTGTTGTTGAAAGAGTGTTAACTGGATAATGATTGTACTCTTCTTTGTTTTTTACAGTTGGTAAGGCTTTTGAGGCCATTTGGCTCATTCATAAATAAGAATTACAGGTTTCTGCATGAGTACTTAGAAAGAAATACCTCAGTTTTATAGACTAAAGACCTTTTAGTCTTTGAGTGAACCTGAATAGTCTACTTTTCAAATAAATTTTCTTTCTTTACCCTGGTAATTTACAGTTGCTGTTCACAACAGCCTGAGCAGCTGGGATTGACTGCATGTGTGTAAGGGAACTTGTCTGAATTAAAAGGGCAGTATCCAGTCTTTCTGAATTAATGGCAGAGAATTTGCTCTTTGAGATATGGGTGTTGTGGTCTGCCCCTTAGATGAAGTAAACTTGCGCACTTAATACTTTCAGACTCCTGACACTCATAGCTCTGATATTTAATTAAGAACATTATAAATTAAACAGCATGTTATTTCTGTAAGTGTGAAGGGCAGCTGAAGTAAGTTTGGATTTTAAGATATGTGTGAAACTTCGCAGGAAAAGAAGTTTGGGGAAAAGTATGTGAGTTGCTTTCTGCATTACTTGATCAGTAGTGTACCTTAAGAATTCTGTAGTATGTAGGTGGTGCAGGTGCCAGAAGGGTGAACAGAATTACCTCTGAAGTACAGAGTCTCTCCTTTAAACTTAATTGAAATTAAACAGAACCACTGAATAGCAGCATTTCTAGATATTTACTTGTGGATAGATTTCACTTTTAAACTTTTTAATGTAAAATTACTTTTATGTTTAGGATGATGAATCCTTCAGCTTGCATAACAGCAACAGTCCTCATCATGAGAGAGATATTAACCGAAACTTTGAAAATGAGATTCCACAGGAGAATGGCAATATTTCARTTACACCTCAGCAGATCATTCAGTCTTCAGCTTTCCCTCAGGCAAATGTTCTTTCAAGCTCACTTGAGGCAGAGCATAGGTATGTACTTTATATAATATAAAGAGTGTTCCTACATGGTAACTGAGCATGTTCATAAATTCTTAGTAGTTCAGAAGWGAGAGTCTGAAAACTGAGAACACATAAAATGTTTCTTGAGTAATGTCAAATGTATCTCATAGATGTACTATTTTAACATGAAATATACTTTGTTTCTTAGACCTGTGTGCTGACTTACATCAAATTTTTAGTAAAGAAAGTTTATTTCCTAATAAAGAATATGGCAAACTGCCTAATGACTTCATCCCTCTGATTTTGGTCTAGGTGTCTGGGAGGAACAATGCATGTAATTGCTATTTGTATTAATAACATTTTAAATGCTGCATCTTATGGAAAACTCCAGTAAGTTTTTTGTCATTATTAAAGTAATTCATTATTTTTGTAGCTGTCTTGCTGACACTGTTAGTGATACCACAAGACAGTCCACTATAAGGTGAGAAAGTAATTTCAAAAAAATKATTGAAGCAATTCTATTATCCCACTAAAGCAACTGTAGTAGCAACTGCTAGATATGAGAATGATGCTGCTGGAAAATCACAACCCAGTCTGTAATTAAGCTAGTCATGAGCTCTGACAGGTTCGTGCAGGTTTCAGGCAACTACAGAATTGGAGTGATAGATTAGACAGATCTTCTTTTCTTGTTTGTGATAGAGTCTATATATACATTGAACTGGACAACTTTTCCTTTTTGTAGCATTTGTAGGAGAAACTTTTATTTCTCTTATTCCTCATGAATGTGAAGAGTACAAAGTTTTTTCTGACATTGGCTGTGGAAACAGAAGGCCTTGGTTTGGGCAGAGACTTCACTGACATAAGTGACACTGTGCGGGATGAGTTCTGTGACTTGATTGTTATGGATGGTTACAGGCTCCTCAGGAGGTGTAGGCAGGGAGCAGAGGTAGGGGTGTGATGTAGTATCTAATGGAGGGGCTGGAATATATGGATTCAGTGTTGGAGTCCGCTGTATGCTGCCCATCCAGGATGATGGTACTGTAGTTCAAGAAACTAAGGAATACCTCTAATTCAGCTACTGCTGCTGTCCTAATGGGAGACTCTAACTTGCCAAATGTTAACTTGGAATACCATGGACATGTGAGGACTACAAAAATGCTGCTTGCCATTGTAGAGAGAAAATCTGTGATGTTGAGAAAGAGACAATGTTCTTTGTCAAAAGGGTGGTTGGGCACTGGAACAGACTTCCCAGGGAAATGGTCACAGCATCAAGTGTGACAGAGTTCATGTGTTTGGACAACATTGTCAGGCACATGGTGTGACTCTTGGGGTTGTTCTATGCAGGGCCAGGAKTTGGACCCCATGTTCTTTGTGGATCCCTTCCAACTCAGGATATTCTGGAATGCTGTGAAATCTTCAGCCWCTAGAGGCTGATGATTTTTTTGACTGAAGATGGGAGTGAAATCTAACTCTTCATTTTTCAGTTYAAGTTATCTTAAGTGCCCTTCTTAGGATTTCTGGGCAAATGTCTTTCCTTTGAGGCATCTCAGAGAGGCTGTGTGTCCATACTGCCCCAGCCCTTTGGCTTTGAGCTCAGCATGCATGTGGAGGACAGATGTTATGGTTAGCCTTTTTGTGGTAAATTGTGCCTGGAGTCACCAGCTTAGCTCCCAGGATGCTTTTGTATACCTAGTAACAGTATTGGCACTTTTTGTATAAAAGGACTTCTAGGAAGTTTCCAACATGCATCAATCCTGTTGGTATCAAGTTTGCTAATCCAAAGTAACTTTTTTATGTAGTTCACACTTTTAACCATTCTAGAGTGGTGTTGATTTAAAGGGAYAGTGGTACTGCTAACTTTACACAATGCTGCTTAAAAGTTAGTTAGCCATTACCCTAAATTGTACGTACATTAACAGGAGCTCCTTAACTATTTTTACATCATTGAATGCAATGTTGACGTCTGAGCTTGCTTGCAGTAAAACTTTCTAAATCAACTATGATTGAATTGTTGTGGTTTTTTTGTGTGGCYATACAAATGCATGTATTCTCTTAGAGTTTTGGATGACTTGTGTATATTTTGCTGCTTTCTGAGGATTTAATTGTTCCTGCCTGTTACACTGTTTGATTTGATTCAAATGGTACAGGGGATGCAATTTCCATTTCTGTTACTGTCCTACTGACTTTTTTTAAAGCAGAGTAGTACTGTTCTCCTTCTACAATTCCAGGCTTTTGTTAATGGCTCTRAGATCAGTGATTGGAGGCTTTGGTTACCTGCAAGCTTTCCCAGTACATGTGCAGTCTATTGGGACAATAGAGCTCCATGTGGGAAGGGTTGTGTTGAAGGGCAATTTTTGCCAGTGTCTGGATAAATGAAGTGCCTGGCATATGATATCAGCTGTGAGGTTGCTTTACTTCCCTGTTTTAATATATTCATTTTTTAGCTCTGGAGTGTCAGTTATGCCGTGTATTTTAGAAACTTATTTATTTTTTGTGAAATAGATTTAATCTGCTTTCAAGTTTAAGGCCAAAAGATGCCTTCTTTGCCTGAAGAAGGTCTTAATCCTTTTGGCAAAAATTTTGCAACAAGTAGACTAAATAWCCTCATTGTTAAATGTCACAGTGTCCTCACCCCTGTTTTTGCAGCATCCTCAAGTGTATAACCACTTTCTTCCTGATCAAATACTTCCATCCCTCTTTTGGAACTAGCTAAAACATGTTGATCATTGCATCAAGCTTAGTTACAAGAAGAATCTTCCTTCCCTTATTTCTTTTTCATCCCAAAATTCTCTCCTAGTTGTTTGTGCTGAAATTCCAGCATGTGCTGTTGGCTGGGACTCAATTGAGAGGAAGCCTGACACAACTCTTGACATTAGTATGTGCCATAAAAAAAATTACATGACACTATTGCATCCTGAACTGGTTTCCATTGAGGGACACCACCATTCCTCATGACTACTCTGCTTTGTTACTCAGGAAAACGTACAAAATCCCTCCCTGTGTCTTTCTCTCTTCATACCGTTCTCAGGGGAGTACATTGCTGCTTTGCTAGCAGTTATAAATTATGTTAAGGAAATACGTTCTTACTGTTTTACCTGACACAAATCTCTTACCTGAGAATGAAGGTACAGTTTGCTTCAAATATAGTGGTAGAATAGGGTCATTTTTGCGGGACCTGAGAACTCAACTTCTGTGCTTTGCATATCTTTTACAAGGCTTTGAACTCACACTTATGTAAGAATTTGTTTAAAAAAAAACAGGTTGATTAATCAATGCATTTGTCACAGATCTTTAGGCACGTATGGAGGCAGAGCTTGAAATGTCAGAATTTCTGTAGCAAATTCCTTAATGCTGTCCTTCTTAATTTGAAGGTTGTTAAAGGAGATGGGCTGGCAGGAAGACAGTGAAAATGATGAAACATGTGCGCCACTAACTGAGGATGAGATGAGAGAGTTCCAAGTCATTAGTGAACAGGTAACACTAAGTTAATTTTCCATTATAAACCTGTGGTGGGTTACCCTAGATGGCTGCCTTTGAGGAGGATCTACAATAATTTTGATCATTAGCAATGTTGCTGTTTCACTACCATGTCAGTACTGTGCTTTTGGAAGAACAGTTGCCTCAAAAAATAGGATATTAGTGCTGACAGTAACTTGGGCCTATTCACAAAGTATTAAGGGAAGGGGAGGGGGGTGCTTCTGAGTCATTTCAGTATTGCTGGTGGTAGAAATACACAGGCTTTCAAGCTCCTCAGCTTAGTCTGAGAAAAGAGATTATTCTTTCAAGCTTTTTATACTTGAAACAAGTTTCCTTGGTGTTCTGAGAGCTGCATTTTCTTTTTTGGGAATTTACATTTAATCTATTTGTAACAAAGTATGAAAAAGCAATATAGACTTGATTTTTCCTTAATTGGTGTTATGGTTTTTTTTTTTTTTTTTTTTTTTTTTTTTTTTTTTGTTTGTTTGTTTGTTTTTTTAATTAGCATTGTTGAGTATGCCTGGTAGGGTCAGTGAGATGGAGTCAGAAAGGAGAATCGTGTGTGGTGCTAAATCTGAACATTTTGGCATTTACATGTCTAGCCACGCATATGCTGAGTAGAGCATTTGGAATCTTAAACTCTCAAATGCTAGTCTTACTGCACACCTTCTACATTAAATGCGAAAATGCAATAATTCCTTTCTTTTTGTAGAATGACCTGTTTCCTTTCTCTGCAGTGTCTTTGACTTTCCAGTTGCTGGGATACCCATTTCTCTCTGCTGCTGCATCTCTTCTGGGCCCCTTCCTTATTGCCCCTTCCCCTTCTTAGCACAGATGTTTGCAGCACTGTGGGAAAGGGGACTGAATTGCAGGGAGAGATTTTTTGGGAGGAGGGATCTTTGGGAGGGATCTGTGGGATGTGGGTGAGAACGGGCGAACTGTCATTGACTGCAGGAGTTCAGCACAACTGGAGACACTTGGATGCAGGTGGCTGGCCAGAAGTGAAGGCTCTCAGGGGTGTTACCCTTTGTGTGTATATATGAAAAGCTGTGGATTCAGCGTAGCCCAGAGGTGAAGATACAGAGAGCGCTGAGCTGCAACTGATTGTTGTGTTTGGCATTTTCTTTCTCTAAATGCATCATGTTTTCACATTTCAGTTACAAAAAAACGGCCTTCGGAAAAATGGCATTTTGAAAAATGGCCTCATCTGTAATTTTAAATTTAGCCCCTGGAAAAACAGCACTTTCAAACCTGCTCTTGAAAATGAGGATTCTGAGACGAGCAGCAGTGATACATCAGATGATGATGAAGTGTGAAGAGTTCTGTAACACCTGTAGAAGCCCATTTGTTTTCATGAAGAATTGGGGATGTGTTGTCCAAAAACAAAAATTCTAATTTATGTAGTGACATGGCTGCCACAGGAAGAATGATGAGACTTTTCTCTGAAGGAAGCAAGGAATGTTTTGTTGGGTGTATTGARAATCACTATAATTTCTCTGTAAATGAATGTTGTGGAATGAGGCCTTGGGTTCATCCAGCATTGACTTTTATCACTGAACCATTTCTGACAGGCAATCTGACAGTGTTACAAATCAGACTTTCTCACTTAATAAAAAAAGCAAAGAATTGTGTCATGTCTTGCAAAGCTTGTGTCTTAAAATGTCTAAGGGAAAAAAGGACAGGCTGACACGGTGTTTTGTTTGCAAGTCATTTCTTTCTTACAGTGGAAATCAACAAGTCCACTATGTATGCAAGAAGGGCAATGTAGCATGTTGGCTAAAATGAGCAAAGTGCACTAAAACTCTTCTGTAATTGATTTGTTGAACTGTTCTGCTCTTTTGCTGTTTGTACTATTGGCATTATTAATGGCAAAAGACCTTGATATTACAGTTCCAAAATTCTAGAATTAACTCTTAARTTGAAATCTTTAAGGGGTATTGTAAGACCATTATTCTCACAGTGACTTGTGGGAAAAAAGCCATTTGATTTTACTATTCAACATGCAGAAAAATCCTTACACTGACTGGATTTGTTGATGGGAAATAAACTGATTTACAGAGTATTGTCTCAGTGCATAKCATCATGAGTATTGTTTTTAAATCTTCTACATTTTATTTGTATTTATATTACATGTACTCTGGCAGCAATATCTGCATTTCAGGACAAGATAAAAAATACTTTATTCAACAGATCTTGCTTTTATAGCAGCAGAAGTATATGTGTGCAATAACCACCTGTTTTGCTTACTCTGTGTCAGACCCTTTCTTTCTGATTGCACATTTAAAAATGAAAATGGTATTATTTATAGTTTTACTTGGTTTATTTTAGTTGTTTAAATATTTCCACAGTTGTACAAGCTGTGTAGCATTAATTCATAAGCACAACTGCTCTTGGGGATGTCACATATGTTTATATGTGGGATGTCTTGGGGATGTCACATATGTTTATAATATAGCATATATATATATATATAGACACTCCCCCTTCAAGGTGTTTTTGAATTCTACTATTTCTTACAGTAAATTATTTGCAGTTTAGAACTTGAAAGCAAAAATATTTATAAAATTGATATTTTGTCCATATTTCTTTAGAAAAATAGTTTTTTTATAATGTGGCATCAGTTTTGGGCCAAAGTTGGTATGTTTCTCTTTTTTATTTATTATTAATTTAAGTATGTATTTCTTTTCAAGAGGTCAGTTTTTGTATTAGAAAAGGTTGCAAATGTTGATGTAGTTAATTTTGGCATGGTGTATTGAAATACTTCATTTTCTAATCTCAATTCAAGAGGATAAAAATGTTTCTATTTTAAAAAGAAAACTGCCATATCTGTAATGATGTTTTTCCTACCTGCATGCCTTGTACGTCTTTCTCCTTCCCCTGTCCTGTAGTTTTTTTATCTGACTTTGACACCTTGGTATAGTTTGTTCACTTTTTGCTTTTCACATACTATCAACAGGATCTTCTGCCTCCCCTAATTATGTAATAGTATGTRGATGCTCTATTTTAACACTAAGTGAAAATGGTTTTGCCTTGACATTTCTCAAAGTGGGGTAGAGGCTTCCCCCCTTCCTTATGCAGTTTAGTAATTACTGTCACCACAGTAATTAATTCTTTGGGAAGATAATATAATTGTAGAAGAATTGTGTTAAAATTGTATAGACTTTGGAAATTTATGAGTTGCAATTGAGAAAATTCTCTTTGGAGGAAGTAGAATTACTAGTCATACCTGGTACTTCTCTTTTGCTGGTTTATGTCCTGAAACTGGTAATGGAAGCACGGGTTATAATGAACTGTGAGCAAAGGAGGTAGCAGGAATTGGGCAGTGGTTTCGCTCTGTAAGTTTTTTGTATATGGTTTTTCCTCTTGTGTCTGCTGCTACTTTTAGGTTAATTTCTGGTCCTGTACGATTGTCCCTTCTGCCATTTCAGACACCTCTCCAAGGTCTGTGTGGCCCCTGGTTTAAATGGTTATCTGCTTGCTCTGTCACTTCAGTTGGCTCTTCACTGCAATGTGGAAGTGGGCAAGATTTGGTATTTCCACTGAGGAACTGGATTCCCCTATGTTATATTTACTTATGATAAAGCTGGGTAGAGTGTTTGTCACCTTTCGTGTCATCTTAAGAAACTCTTTATTTAGTGACTTACTGTGAAACTCTTTCAGAAAGTTTTTTATTTGCTTGGGAATTGTCACTTGAAACAATGTTTTATTTTCATAGCTTCCATAAAATGTATGAAAGCATTTTATTGCATGGTTCCCCTCCTGTTTTTTTTCAGTGCTTGATGATAAAGAGAATAATGAACCTGATTCTCTAGTATTTAACAATACAGCTTTATCCATATTTCACTTTGTTCCTTTCCCAGGGCAACTTTAGTAGGTCATTGGCCTTTTTCTTCTCTCATACGTAAACCATGATCCATTCCCAGAATAAATCCTATCTTGTTTTTCTGCTTGAGGAGGTGTCTGCCTTAAAGAATTGAGAAGTTGGTGACTAAGTTTACCCATTTCCTTAGCAGGTACTAGTAAGCTTTGGAGAAGGTTTGTCTATGCTGGGCTAAAAGAACTTGAGTTCAGTATTGCTAGTCACAGATAGCTGCATGCAAACATGATTTGAGGTCACTACCATTTCTCTTTATCTTCCTGGCTTTATTGGCAGAGAACCATGTAATCCTGATTCCCTGTGCCAGCCCTCTTCAAAAGCAAAGAGGAGTGATCAGTGACTCAGTGATTCTCCTGATATGCTGTTGGTGGGTGATGTGCTCCCTGCCTGTCTTGGAGGGTGCCTGATTTTATGGTGGGGAGCTGGGAATGCTTTACCTCAGCTAGAATGACCAGAGGTCTCGCTCACTGGCTTGTACATGGCCTTTCTCTCTCTTACAGTGTAAGAGAAGCTAGTTATCTTTTCAGTAGATGTTAAAACTACAGTAAAGTTGTCTACTGATTCATATTGGACCCAGTCAAGATTCTGAAGAAGATTTTAGTGGTTATCCCAGTCTTTGAGAAATAGTACCAAATGTGAAGAAAATTAATTTTTATTCCCTTATGCAACTGCCTATGGGGAAAAAATCATCTGCTTGGGTTGAGATGGGGACCTCATTTTCAGTGTTTGTTCTTCAAAGAATACCTGTTTTTCAATAAATACATTTAAACTGCTGGCAGCTAGGACCTGGAAGGAGGGTTGAGTCAACAATRCCTTTGTTTTTACATTTTCTGTTTGCTGCTAGGCAGCAGCTGAAGCAATTTACCCAGCTCTAGGGAACTTTTGATCTGATTAAGGATTATTGCACTTGAGCACCAAGGGTTACTGGCTCATTAGGGTAATAAATGTGCTGACTAGCTGGTCAACTTTCCTCATACTGTTGTTCCTGGTCATCAGTGAGCTTTATTGCAAACTGAATGAGGTTTGTTTTGTAGCCGGGATATTTCTGGAGCCTTCCATAAAGGTATCTGGAAATGCATTTGCTAAACCAGCCCTGGCAGTTATTTGCAAAGCAGTCTGGCTCTGGATTGGGCACAGGGCAGTACCAAAAACTTATCTGTCCCAGTAGGTTTGTACTTCCTCGAGAGATTAGTAAGCAAATTTTGAGGTCTGTCTCTTAGTGGGTTGCCATCTGGGAAAGACTTTCAGACTAAAGAAAAACTCACGCCTTCAACAACTTGGTCAGTAGAGTGTACTGCTCYGTTACTGAGTTCAGTGACCACCAGAGTCTGTCCTTTTGCAGATCAGATCGTCTGATGAATGAGGGAGGTCTCACAGGGCCTATAGCAGCGTGCATTCCTTAAATTCCTAAAAGATACCTGACAATAAGATTGCTAGGTAGGCTTCATTCTTCTTGGACRTTCTCTTGGTATACAGCTCTTTATTTCCCTGGCACTTGCATGATTTTTCTAGAGAAATTCCATACCTGCAGGACAAGTGCTTGTTTTCTTTTGTCTCCTATGCAGATGAAAGATACAGCTTTGAAGTGAAAGAGTATTTTTGGCAAGTGGTGATTGCTGATGTCCAGATCGGCATCTGCTTAACAGACTGATGGAGCTTGGGTCAATATGGGAGGATTTGAGTTCCCCCTTGGTGATGTGGGGATAGAACTCTTTCTGTGTGTACTAAGCAAGGCACTGCCAAGTTTCATCTTGGGAAGCAAAGGGAAACCAACTCCTTCCATTCTACCAGGAAGAGTCAGATTTGAGAACTGGTGCAGGAAATTCCACATGCTTGAGAACTTGGACCAGCCTGGTGGCCTAAACTGTTCTATTTAGTTTAGCAGAGTGGTGGTGTGCTGAGTTGTGTGATCTTCTAAGCCTAAAAGTTCTGAAACAGGGTCTCTGCATCAGATACCTACACAGAGCTCCTGGCTGGCTCTGAAGCCAGAGAGCAGCCACTGTTGCCTTAGTATTCTCATGGGTTAAGGAAGGTGATGCAGCTTTTCCTCCAGTCTGTTACTTGGTGTAGTCAATACAGGAGATGATGTGCAGCTCTGATCCTGCTTATTCCAGCATGGTGGATTTAGTATGGTGGCTTCCTTATTCCTTGTGTGTGATAGCTTCATGTCTGGGACCTCTGTGCTATTGTAATCCTTGTATTTTCCATCTCCCATTGCTTTCTGCCGAAGACTATGAAGTGGAACCATCTTTAGCAAGTCAGGRAGCTTTCTGTCTGGGCTCGACTTACTGCATCATGGATAGGTGAAAAATAGAGCTCTGAGTTGTTCAGGCTACATGTTACACTCTGTGTGGTATACATRTGTTTTATTAGAACTTGAATGCAATACAAGGGGTCATTGTAGAATTGTTAGCAGTAACTTATTTTCTGTGCTTGCCATTTGTAGTTGTTGGTGTTACTGTTGGCTCTTGTCATGAGTGTCACATTTTTTCCTGCCCTAAATTACAGCCAGGCTGAAGGGTCTTTTCCTCAGTGACTGGGTCAACTTTTTTTTCCTACAGCATTGCTTTGGTAACAATTCATGCTGTTTGAAAGGATAATAATGTCTGAATAATTCTAATGTGTGAAATGAGCTGATCTGTAAGGAATTGACACACATCATAAGTAGCCTGCTGAATCAAGCCACTCTTTAGGCAAAGCTGAGAAATACTTCTGTCTGCAGTGAAAGGCTGTTTCAAAAAGAAGCTCGTTTATGAGTGTAAATGATACAGATATTTTGCTAAATGTTCACGAGAACATTTGTGTTCCTTTGCTTCAGTTTCTTTTTTGTTCACCTCCAAAGTGGGCATAGACAAATAATCTTTGTATAGAATAAATACATTTTCATGATTCAGATAAATGAATTAGTTGTTCTGAAAATGCAATTTGGAAGTTTAATGTTTTGGATAAAYTATAATTTAGTATTTAATTTTTAGTCTTTATAAACAGCTGAAAAACATCACATTTTTGTTGATGAAACTGGCTGTGATTATGGTTACCTTATGCTTCCACTGGAAGGATCAGTTACCAGTCATTTAACTGCTGAATATGCTGTGGGACCAGTTTTCCCTGGCTGACCAAGTGCCTCAGGATGCAGCTGCAGGCTGGCAGAGCCCAGCAGATGTGCTGAAGGCAGCTACAGTTGTGGAGAATTCAGTG